TAATTTCTTTAAAGAAATAAAAAATAAAGACTATTACAAGCAATAAATAAACATTATAATAAGAAAAAAAAATTGAAAATATAAGTTTAAAAAATTAAGGCAAAAATATTTAAATAAAAGTATAAATTTTATTAAAATAAACTAACAATACATTTGCACCCACAAAAATACCATATATTAAATAAATAAATAAATAGGAAACCCAAAACAATTAGAATTCTAAGTAAAAGGAAGGCATTTAAAAATCAAAACATTTACTTTTTTTAAAAAAGTATATATTTGTTTCTAACAACAACAATGTTTAGTTTTGCATCAACTTAGTTAAAAAAAAACTCACCTTATAATCAGAAAACTTTTTTGGCTCTTTATTTTTGTTTCTTTTTTGAATAACCTCATCATCAGAGTCATTATATTGATGTTTCTTTCTTTTTAGAACAACCTCCTCTTCAGAGTCATTATACTGATGTTTCCTTCTTTTTTGAACAACCTCCTCCTCAGAGTCATTATACTGGTGTTTCCTTCGTTTTTGAACAACCTCATGCTCAGAATCAATATACTGATGTTTCTTTTTTTTTTGAACAACCTCATCATCAGAGTCATTATATTGATGCTTCCTTCTTTTTAGAACAACCTCCTCTTCAGAGTCATTATATTGATGCTTCTTTCTTTTTTGCACAGCCTCATCATCAGAGTCATTATATTGATGCTTCTTTCTCTTTTGCACAGCCTCATCATCAGAGTCATTATATTGATGCTTCTTTCTTNGAAAAAAAAAAAAAAAGAATAAGATAAAAATCATGAAAAAAAATGAAAAATGTATTTGAACAAAAATTAAGAACATTTTGTGCATAATAAAATTATTAAACGTAGGTATTTTCGTTTAAATATTGTGCTATATGGGAATGAAAAATACCAAATTTTAGCTAGCTTTTTAAATTTTAAACAATGAGGATCTCAATGTTTAAAACAATGACAGATGAACAGGTCGTAAAATAAAGTACTTGAAAAGATGTTTAAATTATTGTTGAACAATAGAATGCAACAAGCAACAAGACTTTAACAAGTATTAAATAATTGCTAAAACTATTAATGAATGTAAATATGAGGGAAGAAGACAGCGAAATTGGTCATAGAAGTATCAGTTTAATTGGAAACAACTCATAACTTTGTAAAAACTAATCAGTGAATGTTGCTTGACTAAAAACGTCATACGCTTCAATAATATACAAAAATGAAACGACAGTCGACATGTTTCAAGCACATCAAAAATAGGCACTCATTTTTCAAGATTTGACAGGCGTGAATGTAAGAAAACAAAGATGATTTGAAATAAACGTAAAGTTACCAACAAAGAGTGGAAGAAAAAAAAGATGAGGAAAAAAAATTAGAAAAGCCGCAGAAGCCAAGAGAGAAGAAGGGTGAAAAATAGAACAAGAAAAAAAAAACAGGGGTTGAGAGACAAATCAGGGGAAAATGGGGAGGTGGAAAGGAACTCAGGTTGTTAACACGGGAATCAGCATTCAAATGAATAAACCAGGAGTCTAGGGCAGTGTTCCCCAACCCCAGGTCAGCGGACCGGTCCGTGGATCAAATGGCACTGGGCTGTCCATTTCATTGAAACTGAATTTAAATTTCTAGGTTTCTACCCCAAATTAAAAATATCTGAGTTCCACTCAAATTTTATTTACTATATAAAAAAGGGGCCCCTGAAGGTATTGACATAAATTTTTTAATGTTTGTAATGTATCATTGTCTCCGATTACCCTCAGATGGAACCGTCTCATT